CCCCAAAACCCCAAAACCCCAAAACCCCGAAATGAATAATAATGCAGCCAAATGTTATTATTGAAATAAACATTAATAAGAAATAGATTTAAATCAATTGTAAAGTATTTCTATTTACTAAAAATTCTAGAGTTTGAAGATGGAAACTCCTAAGAATAGCACTGTTGATGAAATTCAGATAGAACTTGACGTTCAGAAGTACAGCAAGTACTACAACATGTTCTTCGGGTCAGGGATCGCATCCCTTGCTGCTCTATTTGCTCTATTTTTCTATATTGGTAACAAACGCTATCAAAGATTCAATCCAATTGGAATCATGTTCAATTAGATTGTGGTTTAAATAGCTCTCTCATTTAGATTGTTCCTAGTTGGGATGCTTTTCCAAATTATGTAATCACATACAAGATTTAAATGAGTTGAATTATAGGGACTATGATTTCATATCCTCATAAATTGATGGTACCAATCAAGCAGACTTTTATTGTTCATTTGAGGGTCTTTATTACTATGCATTTCACTTGTGTGAAATACTTTGGGGTTTATTGTGGCTATATGACTTCTAAATTCTTGTGAAGACTCCAACTATCTTTACAGGAAAGTATCTCTTGTATTATAGTTTGGCAGTCTATTTCACATCATTTGGCTTCTCTATTGTTGTTTACTTCTAGGACCAAGGAAACTTTACTTCAGTAATTATATTTGAATTCATCAAACCAATTCCTGTAGGCGGCTAATTTAATGTGCTTTGTAGTAGATGATAACAGTATGGGGTACTATTTACTCTTCAATGTCCCAATTTTACTATATGTGGTTATGTTTTTCTACACCTATTGCAGATTTGGCAGACCTATAGTTAAAAGGCAAGAAGCTGCCTTGAAAGCTAGTAATGGTGATTAAGAGAGTCTTCTTTAGAAAGAAGAGACTATAGGGGGCTTATCTCCACACTTACATTTAAAGTTATATCACAACATCAATCTATAGGTACTCTATTTCGTTTTGTGGTTTTTATCAATCATCCCTAACTTCCTAATTCTTGACCCAACTGGGTTAAAATGGTATTCTCTATTTTCTTGCATCCACCCTATTGTCATCTTTGCTGTGGTAATGAGAGCTTTGGCAATTGGTGCTTAAAATCTAGAGAGATAAGGAGTGATTTCTTAAAAAGAGAAAAAAGATAACTAGAACCAGTCAAATGGAACTGAGATGAGTGACTACTCCTCATTGAGCGACATTTCTTTCTCTAGCACAGCTCCACCTTAGTTTAACACTTAATACAGATAAGTCCCTTAGGAAGAATTCAACTAATATGCAGACATTAATCCTAAAATAGTAACCAAAGAGTAAATTGAGAATTTCAGAATAATCATTAGAGAGAATATCTTAGAAAGTATAGTATGCGGATTCTAGGCTATTTAAGATAGACCTAAGCCTAAATATTTATATGATAAGCAACTAGGCTATGGTGAAGCTCCTATTGATACTCATATGGGACTTGAAACTCAAATGGAGAAGAAAGAGAAAGTAACTGGCATTAGATACATCATAAAACATATAAAAGAGTTCTTTGCTTTCAATAGACAAGGAGCTGGAGCCTAGATTAGTCCTAAGGATCCAAACGCTGAGGCATTAGTGATTGAGGGTTAAGTATTAGGCCATCCAGAGATAATAAAGAGATTCAATGTCACAATGAAGTCAGATGAACTAAACAAGTGTAGCAAAACTGAAAAAGTCACTTAAGCAATCAATACAGTAGAGGATTTCAAGTATGACTTCATTGAACTGGCTCCAGAAGTATTTCATGTCATTAGAAAGATCAATAATATTGATGAAACACTGATAAAGAAAATATTCAGTTTAGATAATATTCATAACCTTAAGGTTGATGTGTCCTAGACGAAAGGAGGAATGTTCTACATTTTCCCATTAGATGGTGGAATTATACTTAAATCTATTTCAAAGGCATCTTACAAGCAGTTGTAGGAATTTATTCCAGACTATTATAAGCACACCCTAATGAACCCTAACACTAAGATCTCACCAATCTTAGGAGTGTACAGCATGAAGCTAAATAGAAACAATGAGTCAATGACTATTCATTTCATTCTTTAGAGAAGTATCTAAGATTTTTACTATGATAGTCTTGCCACTGATGATATTAGTTTTGGGTTTGATATTAAAGGTCAGGTTTAAGGTAGAAAGCACTTGGATAATCCAAGAGACATACTTAATTTCTCTATGGTACTTATGGACAAAGAAAAATACAAGTACAAACTGAAGGACTAGGACTTTTTACAAAGCTTCAAGAAATTAGATATCACTCAGTATCAATCAGAGAAGATCGTAGCTTAACTGGAGTCAGATGTAGAACTACTTACTAGACATTTCTTTATGGATTACTCACTCTATCTTGTTGTTGTTATCAAGCCATTCAGAGAAGTAGACTTTTTGAAATAGTAAATACATGGTCTGGATAAACTGTAAATAAGCTCTAAAGAGGATAGTAAATTGGCAAAGAAATACAGAAAGCATCTCTACATCGGTGAATCAGATTCTAATCTATATAAAAAGAAGGGTGAGGGTAATCTCATATTGGTAAAGGAGAGAACTCAACTGAGATCTAAAGCTTATCATGTTTGTGACTCTTATGATATAGTCTCAGTCAAGCAATATGAACATGACACTTTGAATAGTGAATCAACCAAACATTCTAGGCAGGATATATAAGAACAGCTGTAGAGCCAAATAGGTTAAACTCAAGGCTTCAGATCAAACTCAATAATCAACTTCATCAGCACAGGATTATCATACGAATTCTCTCAAACAAAGATAAGTGATGATTAGAGAAGCGTTAGAAATTCTCAAATCGCCAAGAAGAAAGCAGACTCAGAGCTTAAACTAAAGGAGGAATTGGAGAAAAGCAAAAAGCCCAATGACTTACTTTAATAGCTAAACATGTTCTATAATGATGATTCAACCAAAAAGGAAGAATAAAAGCTATCAACTCACAATAATCATCTTGTGACAATCAAGCATGAAGAAAAACCTGTGATATGCTACGAATGCAAATAAAACAAGATGAATCACTTCGTTAGCGAGTGCATTAACAACGACCTGGAAGAGGAAGAGGACTAGATCAAGAACAGCATCTTGAAATTCTCAAAGAGAGATGTGATTGAGCAGTTCATCTTCGACCCTCAACTTGGAATCGTCAAGAGAGAGATTCATTATGGTATTATCGACTATCTCACTGTAAGTACTTTACCTTTTAAATATGCATATAGACATACCAAATGAAGAAAAGATACGACGAGATTAATGGTATTTTCCACTAGGCTAATACTGTAAGACCCACCATCTATGGAGAGAGATTCGTGAAAACAATGAAAAAGATATTCTAGTGAAACTTTAGAAAATAGCTATCTAGGCATAAGCAATCCATATTTCTTAGCTTTCAATTATATTTCAAATTTCATACTTTAATTCAATCTAAGCATTGAGGGGTTTTGGGGTTTTGGGGTTTTGGGG